ACCCACGGCCTTGCCGGTGGTACACAGGATGCCAAATCCACTGAACATTGCCCGTTAAAGTACCTGTAAAAGAAAGAGAGTGAAGCAACATTGCGGCGAAGAGAAAGGGGAGAGAGATTGTCGACTAAAGGAGGAGAGTTAATAAGACGAAATGCCTTTGATTCCACCCTATCTAATAGTTGGACAGAAGAAGAGCCACCCCAGATATGAGAGCAGTACTCCAAGTTAGGACGAATGAATCCCTTATATACTTGGAGCAACTGCTCAGAAGTGAAATAGCTGCGGCATCTGTACAGCATTCCCAACTTTCGGGAGGCAGCTTTAGTTATACTAAGGATGTGTGATTTCCAGGACATATTGGAGGAAATGGTGAGGCCTAACATATTTATTTCAGAATTTGGGAGGATTTTAACGTCCTGAAATGTAATTGGTGGGAGATCGTCTAATTTACAAAGTGTAATTGGTAAATATTGAGTTTTGTTACTATTGAACATAACCAAGTTTGTATCTCCCCATTCAGAGATGCTGCACAGATCCGCGTTGATAGAAGTATGATATCAGTTCTAGAAACAGATCTAGTTTGAGAGTTAGGAGGAAGGGAAAAATGTGAGGAAGAGTGAAGAGTAGAATCATCGGCGTAAGAATGGATAGAATTAGTTGTAGTGTGAAGTAAATCATTGATAAAAAGAAGGAAGAGAGTTGGTGAAAAAAGAGAACCCTGTGGGACGCCACTATTGGTAGAGAAAGAGCGAGAAATCGATCCCTCGACAACAACTGCCATGGATCGATTCTCAAGGAAGCTAGAGATGAGAGAACAAAGTGGGGGAGAGAAATCAAAAGAGGGAAGTTTAGATAGCAAAGACTTGTGCCATACCCTGTCAAATGCTTTGGAGATGTCGAGGGCCACGACAAAAGTTTCCCCATAATCCCTAAGAGAGGATGACCAAAGATGGGTGCTATAGGAGAGCAGATCACCAGTTGATCTCGCCTGGCGAAAGCCATACTGGTGATCCGACAAAAGAGAAAGGCGTTCAAGGTGACGGAGAAAATGGGAGTTCAAGATATTTTCGAAAATCTTAGAGAGGGATGAAGTTAGGGCAATGGGGCGATTGTTAGAGGGATTAGAATGGTCACCCTTCTTCGGGATGGGCTGAACCAAGGCATGCTTCCAAGAAGAAGGAAAAGTTTTGGTTTTGAGGCAAAGACGAAAGAGGCGAGCAAGCACAGGGGCCAGGGCTTCAGCACACTCCCTCAGAACACGAGGGGGGTATTCCGTCCGGTCCATGCACCTTACTCACATCCAACCTGGATAACACACCGGCAACCCTGCGAGTGGAGATTATAGGAAAGTGTATAGGTTCAGTAGGAGGTGCAGGGGTAGGAGGGATAGAGTGGGAATCGTCTAAGGTGGAATTAGAGGAGAATATGGTGCCAAAGAGGTTGGCTTTGTCAGGGGGAGAGTTGGCTATTGAGTTATTGGGACGGAAGAGGGGAGGAAAAGAAGGCGTGCAGAAGTTGTTACAGATGTTTTTAGTTAATGACCAGAAGGATTTACTGGAGGAAGAATTAGTCAGGACAGCGGTCTTTCTTTTAATAAAATTCCGCTTGGCCCTACGAAGAATAGCCTTACAACGATTCCTAGAAGTAATGAAAGAGGTGTGGGTAATAGGAGAAGGAGATAGTTTCATAGCTCGATATGCCCTATCTCTCACCCTGCAAGCAAGAGAGCAGGAGCGATCAAACCATGATTGTAATGTGAAAGTTTTGGTAGATGATGGGATAAATGCACTCATACCGCCCTGTATAACCCCAGCAATGCTGTCAGCACATACTGAGGCATCCCGAGTGGAAAAGCAACATTCATCCCAAGGAAAGTCGGTGAAGAATTCTCGCAAGGATTGCCAGCTTGCCCTCCGATAGTGCCATAGTTGACGTTTAGAGGGGGGTGGGGGAGATGGTCGTGCCCAGTTTGATTTAATAGAAATAAGGTTGTGATCAGACCCTAAGGGGGCAAAAATTGAGTATGAATAGTGTGAGAGGTTAGAGGTAAAACAAAGATCAAGAATGTTAGCAAGTTGATCGTGTCGATCAGGAAGGCGTGTAGGGTGTTTGATTATTTGTTCCAAATCATTAAGTAAGGAAAAAGAGAGTGCCTCAGCTCCACCTGGGTCATCCCTTGCAGAGCCAAGCCACTCTCCGTGATGTACATTGAAATCCCCTAGGTAGAGGATCTCGGTGTTGGGGTGTGTGGATAGCAACGACTCATGGCAAGAATTGAGATAGTCAAAGAGTTCGAAATAGTTGGTAGAGTTGGGAGAACAGTATAAGAAACAAAGAAAAATAGTCACAGTAGGTAAAGATATTTTGAGCCAGATGACATCATAAAGGGGAGATTCAAGATCCGTGAGTCGGGCTATAGGTGTACGTGTATTGCAGTAGGCGCATACACCTCCCTTAGAACGGAAGTAGGTATAAAGGTTGTCGTTAGAGACTTGAAAAGGTTTAGGTGAAGCTGCTTTGGTCAGTTGAAGTTCGGAGAGTAGTAAGAGGTCGGGGGAAGAGGTTGATAGATGGTGCTCCACAGAAGGAAAATTGGATCTCAGTCCGCGAATGTTGGAAAAATGAAGTGTGAAAAAAGCCGATCCTCCAGCAACCGCGGTGGCGTCAGTTGAGGCCCCAGTAGCTTGATGATACAGGTCGGCCCTGGGGTTCACAACCTTCCCGACCAGTGGGACCCATCCGAGAAGGCCCCGCTTCAGTATTAATATCAACTGACATAGGAGAATAAAATAGAATGAATAAAACGGATCAAGAATGAGTACGGTTTTATTTGTGGTGTTTCAACTTCTGGCAAAGGCTCTTTGATAAAGGAAAATGGAAGCGTATCATATGGAACACAATAATCAAGAGTATAATGACTGTATATACTGACAACACTCTTTTATGTAAGGTTAAGGATCTAGACATCAGAGTTGACCAGTCTCTGAGAGACTGAAAAAAAGTGGAAGAATTGGTCGAAAAATCATAAAACGCTTGGAATGATTAATCGCACCTGTTGATATAAAGACAAGAGAATGACCACTCAACTCTACAGTTCTTCCCACGCTGAAGTTCTATAAATAGACAGGGAAACTACACGTACAGAGAGGTAGTAACATAATTGGAAAAAGTGTAACATAGAGCGACTAGAATTATTCCTGAAATAAAACCTCAATATTCAAGTAGGTAGACATCTTTGGCTTAACACAAGACATGGCAGCATATCTCATGAGACACGTAATTCTCGAACAAAATGGAAAACATAAACCACACTAGACCATACCTTCACGATGTCAAATGGCAATACAAATACAGGACTAGAGATTCAAAAGAGTGTTGGTGTTCCAGAAGTTATTTTTTTTTTATAATTCCATAAGTAATCGCAGACAAGATAATTAGGGAGACTGAAGGGACCCTTAAAAGTTAACGAGCCTTGGACATAAATGTTGTGGTCGCCAGATACCCAACTCAGGACGAGACATTTACCATCTCACACGTCGCTGACGCCTGTGGTCACCCGTGCTTGCCCCACACTGCATCTCTATACAGTCAACACCCAAACACCCGGGCTATACCCTCGGCTCTTCTCCACACCCATCATATCATTTACGGATTTATTTAACCTATTTTATTATTATTAAATTAATTAAATAACTACAGTGAACAAAACAATAATTTCCTTCAAAGTGAGTCATCCACACAGCTTTACTTGTTATGTGACTGGTGAAGGTGAAGCCTCGTAAATCGCTATTATGTATCAGGGATTATTATAAGTGTCTCCCACAGTTTAATAAAGTCGCTTTAGATTTACTCTTGTTACCAAAGACAAGGCGATTAGTATCACCGTTATAAAGTGGAATCTAGTACTGTATTAAGTGTTTTGGTATTTAACGTTAAGAAATTCACTCAGTTTTGGAAAAGGTTCTTCATTTTACCTGGTAGTTGTACTCTATGCGTGTTTGGTCATTAAAGTTTGTAACACTGTTGCTTACAGTCATAGAGGGACTGTCCATCTTTATTCCCATGTCTCTGAGGTTTTACTAGTTCTTCTTAAAAGATTTAAAGCGTGGTGCACTGGTCCTTCAGTCACTCATACCTCTGAGCCACATCATGTTTTTCAGAGGAGGAAAGACTTTAGGCTTGGCACCTCACTCGATTTTAATTCTTGCCGATGCCCAACCCAGGACAAACAGTATAAGCTGTTTTCTGCAGCTTCTTTTGGATCGGCGTTACAGCACTGTTTTCTTTGCAGTGTGCCACCTTAAGTACTGTCTGAGCAAAACAATCTTGGACACTATACCTGGTCAGAGTGGACTTGAAACTTTGGTGGGCCGAGGCTTTTAACTGCACACATATTGAAAACTAGTACTGTACTGCCTTCGGCCTAGTGCATAACATTGTTCAGGAGTAATGTAATGTACAGTCAGCAAAAAATGGATCTGCACCCTTGGTCTGGTGGCCTTCTGGATGATCACTATAACTGAGGTCGCGTTTATTTAATATGGTTGGTATTTCTGATTGTGTGCAACATTGTGTAACAAATATGAAATATCCTGCATATCAGGTTTAGTTCAAATAGATAAATTAACAGGAATACAAAGACCTTAACGAAAGCAGACACTATTTCATTATTATATACTGTACTAGGTTGTAATACCCACATAAGAAATGATTTCCACAATAGGAAATGAGTCGCCGTTAAGAATTTCACATATTATGAGATGAAGTGAAGTTCCCGTAACTCCTCAGTATTATGACTTATTTGTGATGAAATATAATATCTCGCCCAAGAGGAAGAACAATATAAATAACTACATTTTGTAAGCCATATACTATGACTCAGGGGAGCAACTATTAACTCTCCGGACAAAAATATATTAATTTGCCTATCAAAGTCATTGTAATTAATCACGGGAAAAAACACAAAATTCTATTCATTCGTTTTCTTTTCTCCAAAACAGATGAATGTGAAAACCAGGAGCGGTGTGTTTCTGCTGACAGTGTTGCTGGGACTGGCAGAGATGCAGACAATAAACCGGGCAGTAACGAGGATTGTCCACTACAATAGGCAAGACATGCCTTACTTAATAAGTTTTTGGCCGTGGCCAAGCGTACCTCGGGTAATGCCAGCTCGTCCCCAACATGAAAAACAGAGGAGTGGAATAATCAACCAGCAAGATTCTGAAGAATCAGCAAATGGTCGTGAGGATTACTTTGGCCAACCACAAAATTCTCAACAAGTCATGTTTGACCGTCAGAGTCAGCTTGGTCAACCACAAAACTCTCAACAACAAGCCACAAATACTCGTGAGACTCAGTTTGGTCAGCCACAAAATTCTCAACAAGTCATGTTTGACCGTCAGAGTCAGCTTGGTCAACCACAAAACTCTAAACAACAAGCCACAAATACTCGTGAGACTCAGTTTGGTCAGCCACAAAATTCTCAACAAGTCATGTTTGACCGTCAGAGTCAGCTTGGTCAACCACAAAACTCTCAACAACAACCCATGTTTGACCGCCAGAGTCAGCTTGGTCAACCACAAAACTCTCAACAACAACCCATGTTTGACCGCCAGAGTCAGCTTGGTCAACCACAAGACTCTCAACAACAACCCATGTTTGACCACCAGAGTCAACATGGTCAACCACAAGACTCTCAACATGCAGGAACTTTTGTTACAGCCACCAATACTGGACAAGGTGCTTCAGGTATGGGTGGAAGTTCTTCGCTGGCAGGATTCTCCGGGCAGGAGAATCGTCATCATTTGTGTGCCAAGGAGCCCTCCCCTGGAGAATGCCGAGGAGCCTTTCCCAGGTACAGTATAATCTAGTCTTTCTGGTAACTTTTGTGCATAAAATATATATATCTGTTGAATATAACCAAGTAAGATATTGGGAATGAAGAAGCAAAATACTATATCAAGAGTGGTTGGTGTAGGTTTAGCTGTTTTCCGCGATGTGTGAAGATGATAACAAAAGAACGATAGACGTGTGAATGCTGAGGTGTGAAGATGGTAAAAAATCAGTTGTAAAATGAGAACTGAGTAAGAAAAAGGAAGTCATTAAAAAAATAAAGTTGTATAACGGTGTAGTTTAAAAGATAAGAAGACTTAGTGATAGGCGAGAGAGAAAGACATATATACCTGTATGGTTGAACCTCACGACTGTGTTGTGTGCGAGAGACGGAAAGACCATTTTAAAGAGCTGTAGTTTTAGAGACATAAGAATAACTTCAGAGTCATGATGGTGGTCGACTGGGTGATGAGTGATATTCTCTGTAGATTATTTATAGAGGTGATATTAGATCATACAGCGTAAAGAAGCATTAAGAGGATCGCCATGGATGAACAGCAAGGAGAGACGACTTACCTGGAGTGATGGTATACGAGTGTTCCTATACAATATGGAGGAGAACAATAGGTATGGATAGGTTAACAATTATGGTGGGAATGTATAAGTTTGATAAATCAAGGAATAAAGAGTGTGTGAGACCATCAAACTTCGACTAATGGCTGAAGAATGACTGCAGATCGTAAAGTGAGGAGCTGTTCTGTGTGTGATGGTTGCAGTAGGAATGAACCTTACCACCCAACATAATGTTCAATGATTTGATGTAGAGCATTGTGAGTCGCTGTAGAAGTAAAGGTTCATTATATATATAGAACTGTAAGTTAAGGATATGAACAAATGTGTGCGGGTAGTTGTACTTATTGTTTTGGCCTCACTGTCCTGTAACCCACTCCCTTGCCTTTGAGGTTTGTGTACTCCTGAACCACCAAGGAGGAGTAAGGGTAATAGATGAATAAAGCGGTAATAGAAAAAACTTATGCTAAAATTAGGATATTTATACAATAATAGCAAGATTAAGTTTAGTAAGTTTATAACAGAAAACATATGAGCTGCCGCGAGATGATTTGTGACAGAGATAGTAAGAAGCAATGAAGTCATTATAAACTTAGAATAAATATATAAAATGACTATGTGAAGTAACTTTTCATAATAATTAATTCTGGTGTTGTTTACGCAGGTTCTTCTACAACTTGGAGACGAACCAGTGTGATTGTTTCGTGTACGGCGGGTGTGAGCCAGATGATGGACAGCCGCAACTCGTCTTCAAAAATCTGGAAGAGTGTCAGCACACCTGTAAGCCCAGCAACTTGCAGAAAGGACCAACCTGCGATATTGTGTTTAGAAAAGAGGAATCATTTAGGCTCTTCACTTCTGCAGCCACCACCACCAGTAGGCCGAGACCCAACCTGGACCTCAGTCACTTTAACGATGATTCACTTCTAGGGCTATTCGCAAACATTTGAACACTCTATGTTAAGATTCGTTTCCTAACAGTTTCCCTTATTATAAAGGACCACCAGACATAAATGTAAATAAAGGAACACTTTCCTTCATTTTCCAGTCATTCGGTCATTCTCGCTCTTGTAAAGGGTGTGTTATATGGCACTTCCCTACACACAGGGCAGGACTCACCCTAATACGGAAATCACTCGATGTCATGTTATCTCTTAATAAATACACACACACACTTGACCACCATAGGGTAAGGACATGTCTGTCAATGCTCTTGTAGCTGCCTCGGGTTAGGCTGTTAACCCATTTCCCACCTCCGTCACCTCAACTTCAGTCGACTGGCACATACTTAGGACTTTTCCACCAAGAAACCAGTGTAAGGATTTGATCAACACATGCCTATACTGAAGTGTCACGCAATAATACGCATCTGGAAGTATCTGCCATCTAGTAACGTTGCTAAAACCTCAATAGATGGCGCCACTGTTCGACTGCACATTTTATGCTGTGCTTAGGGCAGCTGCTTTCTATCTTTTGTACACAGTCTTTGGGGGCATCAAGATTCCGAGGGTTGCTACTAATATCGACTTTCACACCTACGCGCGAGGTCCCACAACATCATGTGAAAAGTTTTGCCAACACCATGAGTTGTACTGTGAAAAGAGATATTGGATTTCTGGAAGACAGTGTTATAATATTATTAAATTAATCTATCACGGCACTCAGTACTCAGCTCCCTCTCATCATCATCATATCTCCATATATCAGTTTGGGACAGAGGTGTTGTACCGTCTTCGCTAATACTACCAGCCACCTCAGAACAGATCTTCGTCCAGGTACTGCTGTTGGGACACCACAGCGGTATCAGGACTACAGGACCAGAGCCTTTCTAACCACCGTGGAAACCATCAGATTCATACTTGTACTGTATGTTCACCTCATGTTTTTCACCTTTGTATTCAAAGCTTTTGTTCAGACCCCCAGTGTCACCTTATGTAATTTATATCATCTCTGTTCATTGTATGTTGTTAGCCTTAGGGCTGTTGTATTCTGCCAATAAACCGCTAATTATTATAATAATAATTATTATTACACACACACACACACACCCATGTGCGTCACGTCAAATATGCGTTTCGCGCGGGACCTGAAGGCAAAATAGGGGAAGGAGGATGGTGTACAATAATTGTTAGATTAAATTAAGACTTACAGGATATGACCACTAACTAGAGACTAAAACTTAAGGAACTATCCAGACCAATGTAAGATTGCCGTGATATACAAAATATCTTGACCAATCAACAGCTGTTGATTATGAGGGCTGGACGTGTTCATAGTAGCAAGATATGACAAAATAATTAGGGATGATGGGATAAGAACAAATATTAATGGCACAGTTGAGGGTAGGAGGGCCAAGGGTAGGCAGAGACTGTGATGGGTGAATGAAATTAAAAACTGGGTCCCCAGAGAATTGCAAAACCTAAGAGGTTTGGTAGAAACAGCCCGAGAACGTTTAGAGTGGAGGAGTGTGGTCGCCAACCCTCAGATATGAGGACGGTTCTCTGATAGATTGATCTTTCAAGGCTACTTCAACGTCACCGTCACCACCTTGACCAAAACATTAAATTAACGTTTTGGTTTAGACTGAAATAACTGAGTAAATTTAATCTTTCAGGATAGATTTACCAGCAAGATATTTAGAGGTAATTAACATTTAAATTTGTTCTGACGTCACCAAGACTCACCTTCCTGATATGAAGAAAAGAACTATCTCGTTAACTTAATAAGGAGACTGTGAAGACCACATAAGCTTCACCATCAAGAGAATTAAAGCCGATTCTTGTTCAAGTTCACTCCGAGATCATCGCAACTATTATCCAATGGAATGTGTAAACACTTAAGTTTCTCAATAACTGTACAACAACAACAACAACTACTGAAGTCTGCCCAGTGAACATCTGTCGTGTTTGGTGACAACAGCTTCATTTCTCCGAAATGGCAGTCGTTAGCAAGATGAAAATTATTCAACACTGGTCCCTTAATAGACGTAACGAACTGTCTAACTTATACTATCAATTAGACCCAGACATTATTCTGTTAAACAGTACGGGCATAAAGGACGAAAGTAAGCTGAACATTTTTGGCTACACTGTATACCAGAGGAACATGACGGGTGAGCTGAACGATGGTGTCGCTGTGGTCGTCAGGTCACGTCTGAGTCACAGAGTGTTGCCAGACTTCGAGGATTCAGTTCTAGGAGTGCAGGTGGAGACAACTAGGGGATCTGTTATCATATGCACAATGTACCTACCTCCCAGACGTCCTTACTTACCCGAACAAGATCTCAACCAGATGCTACGCCACAGAAAACCAACATACATCATTGGGGACTTAAATGCGCGCCAACGCCATACTCGGACACGGTAATGAGAACAACGTCGGTGTGGCGCTGTATGACAACATCAGAATGGGAAAACTGCAACACCTCGGGCCAGATTTCCAGACACTGATCAGACGTGCCAGTGCCACAACACCCGACATAATCCTCTCTAACAACGAGGCCGTCCTGAACAGGCACGTTACCGCCGGACCCATCAGTACCAGCGATCACCTGCCAGTCGTCGTGACGCTCTCATCCAATCCCATTATGATCCCCGCTAACATCACGTCAAACCTCAAACGGGCAGACTGGGACTCCTTCAAGGAGGCTCTCAGTCTCAAGCAGGGGAGAAACCTGGAAGAAGCCAGCCCCAATGACAGACGACGCGGTCGAGCAATGGTACACTGATGTGAAGACGGAGATGGACAACAACATCCCGACCACCACTCACAGAACTATTCCTCACCCTCACACTAGTCACTAGTTGAGGCAGCTCAGTGTCCAGTACGATCACGTGACAGCTAGCCAGTATCCGCGGGTGGACGCAGGAGCTGAGAGACCGGTACCGAGAGCTACAGACGGACATCCGGCACGAGAGCAAACGTCTACATGAACAAAAGTGGGCCGCCTTGGTGTGGGAGGCAGCCAACAATTACCGCGATTCTGCTGCCTTCTGGAGAGGATCAAGCGATTAATGGGTTCCACCTCTAGCACGGCCTCTTACCTGCTCGACCAAAACAGCGAGAAAATAATCGAGGAGGAAAACCAAGAACAATTACAATGGCGATATTTTCAAAAGATCTTTACCATTAGTAAACAGGAGAATGAGGGCTTCGACAGGGAGTTTGAGGAGGACATTTTAGGTCAGTTGCAGGACCATCAGCACCTGCTCCAACCGGTAGCACGGACTGACTTTACTAAACTAGTGTACGAAAGCTACCTGACGGAATGCATAATTTCTGCAGATGTGTCAGCCGTCATAAAAGGGTTTAAAAATAAATCACCTGGGCAAAGCCATATTAACAAGAAGATCCTGGCCCAACTCCCCGACAACATGATAGAGAGAATTGCTCATATATGCAATGTCTGCTTCGCCCCTGGATACTTCCCTATCATGTTCAAAATCGCGGTTATCCACCTCATACTAAAAGCAGGGAAGCCTCCAAACACAGTCGAAAACATTCGACCAATATCACTGCTAGAGGTACTTGCCAAAATCCCCGAAAAAATAGTAAACAAGCGGTTGCGGATGTATCTGGAGGACGAAGACGTGCATAATCCCCGCCAGTACCGAGGCACATCCCCCGCCGTAGCCCAGGCTTACGAGCAGATTGCAGACGCCATGACTGGCCGCCTGCAGTGCAACGTAGTACTGAGGGACGTCGACAAGGCGTTTGACAAAGTTTGGCACGCGGGGCTGCAATATAAGATCATACAACTGGGGCTACCCGAAAACCTGACGCGCCTGCTGTGCAACTTCATTACGGACTGCAGAGTCAAAATAAAGATGCAAGAACATTTTGGGGAGGAATTCTCACTCTCGAGCGGCGTGCCTCAGGGCTCTTGTCTCTCAACAACCCTTTGCACACTCTACAAGACTGACCTGCCACCCCCAATCGTCGGCAGCGAGTATGCCATGTATGCCGACGATGTAACAGAGATCGTCTCCTGCCCAGGAAGGTCCACGGCACAGATGGCGGGACTCACTGCTCGGGCAATAGAGGATATCTCAGAGTATGAAAATAAATGGAAAATAAAAACAAACATAACGAAATTCGAGGTCATACCCATAGCCAAATTCAATCCGGCGCCATTGATGATCGACGACGAAGAGATTGAGTACTCTAAACAAGGCAGGATGCTCGGCCTCACCATCTCTCGGACGGGCATCATTTCCCACGTGAATGACAGACTAAAGAAAGCCAAAATCGCTTCAGCCAAATTAAAACGTTTTAAACTGATGCCTGAGAAGATAAAAGTCCACCTGTACAAGGCGCTGGTGAGGCCTGTGTTGGAGTACCCACATATACCACTCGTCACACTCGGGAAGACCAGACTACATCAACTACAGAGCTTCCAAAACAAGTGTTTGAGGTCAGCCAGTGGCCAAGCGCCACCCTACCAGGAGACAATGAAAACCATCCACCTGAGAAATACAACAGTGGCCCTCAACGTCAGGTTTCATCGCCTAGGGAAGAAGGTTTGGGACAAGCTCCTGGACGACCCTCACAGCCCAGACCACCTACGCGGGGAAGACATCAACGGAAGGCAACCCCACGCCTGGTGGCCAAGGAGTCTGCCCGCATTACAAAAACCCAACCCGCGACCCATCTATGTCCGCCACAGTGATCCACTTTAGTTTAAGACTTAGGTGATGTAAGTTCACATTTAACAAGTCACAATCTAGTGAGTCCATAATGTAATACATTATAAGATTTTAATAAACATGTAATTTTAAAATCATACTAGTCATTGTCTACCAAAGTAACCATTGTGCAACCTCATCCTAAATCCCAGGTTAGCTTAGTTAGCCAACAAACTCTGTAATATGTAAAACAAGGGATGTCGTCCCCTTCTGTTCAACTCAAACTTCTTTTCCAACCTTTCCCCCCACGACTATATGTCGTGACTTCTCTATCCTTCATGTCTGGCTGTGCCTTGAGCCCCAGCATGCCTTCCATCCTTTCCCCACCTTAGCCTAAAAAAAAACAAAAAACAAAAAATGCTCATAGGTTTTATGGGCGATGATAATGACATAAGCTGCACAGCCACTTTCTCATAAATTAGTTAAGAAAACACAAGGTCCTGCGGAGTGCCTGATATACTCGAGTGGTTGATGACGTCATGTTAGTCGTTAAAGTTGACAATGTTGAGTAAATAAAGACGTAAACATGTCGTGTTGTGTAAAAAAATTTCCAGAAGAAAAGTGCTTTTGTAAATCTGGTAATATGTGAGTTGCTGCGTGAGACAATGTTAGTTCTACACGTGGCCCCTGGAGGAGGGCGGGCAGTGCTCTTACGTTTTGTTGTTGTCATAACTGTCATGTATTATACCTACAAACTCTAACCAAAAAGGTCAACAGCGATAAGATTGTTATATTGAGAACACTGAAAAGTCGAATGTAAGAAACAATATCTGCGAGCTCACTTATGAATTAAAACTGGAAATGACCCATATGTAAAGGAACTAGAACTTGGTCTAGCACGAGTCATCGTGAACAACCAAACTTCCTGTAAAATCATTCATCCTCTGAGTTCGAGGAGGGTTTCACTTGTCAAGCTTCAGGATGTTAAAATCAACATTGGCTCGTGTAACCACTAGCCATTTACTATAGCAGGACAAGTGAATATGTTGACAGACATGACCTGTCGTCATTTACCGTTTTATATATATATATATATATATATATATATATATATATATATATATATATATATATATATATATATATATATATATATATTGTTGTTGCCGAGTTCGCTGGGAAGACAAGATATCAAATGCCAGTATTCTTGCTGACACCAACTGTAGGAGCATCGAGGTTACCATTATCCATGAACAACTACGTTGGATTGGCCATGTTACCAGCATGGACGATAGTAGACTGCCAAAGCAGCTACTTTACAGTCACCTAACGAATAGTAAACGTAATGGTAGCGGGCAACTGAAAAGGTATGAGGTTAGTCTTAAGGCAAAC